TGGACGGGGTGGACCATTGGAGACGGTTGGAGGCATGACTTTGATGGATTTTTTAAGAGATCTTATTATCCTCCGCTCTTTCTCCTTTTTCTTTAGTTTTACTTGAGAGAATTATATAAGAGGAGAGTTTGGTTGTTGTATTGAAGAGGGGAATTTTATTTGTAACTGTTTTTATGTTGTAATGTTGCTTAATTTTCTTGTTTTCATGAATTTCATGGAGCTTACTAACTTTAATATGAGTGGCTAGATTTCTCTTCGAGCCTCCTTAATGTAGGGGGTTGTTTTTTATTTCGTGATTTTTCTAGCATGTTTTGTTTGTTGTCTTTTATATGCTTTTAATTGATTTATGTTGTTTTTTAATATGTTGACTTACGTTTATTCCAAACCCGACTAGTTAAAATGTTGTGTTCTATCGTGATTTGCGACTTTTGTCGTTGTGTAGTGGAACGATTAAATTAACCACAAATCTCTGATAGAATAGACATATTCATTAATAGATATGCAACCATAAAAGGGATCAGAGGAATCCTGAGAAACGACTTGGGGTTACACAAAATAAAACTTCTTGAGTTTTTGATTCTCCTTATGACCTAAACACAGGAAAAACAAAAAAATATTTACCCTGGTTTATAACACCCACGCTGAGAAACAATTAGGAGAAACAAAAAATTCAACACTACACCCAAATCACAGCTCAAACCTCATCTTTCTCGAAGAGCTTGTGTTAGCTTTCTCTCTGATTTTTTGAGACCATTTCTCTTTCTTTCTATTTTTCATTTTGTCGTTCGTGATTTTGGTTTATATTTTTGAGTAAGATCTTAGAAATTACATCTCTTGCTTGTGATCACACCGAACTAAGTTTAGACATTTAGTAGACTAGAGATTCACATACTGAAATATTTCTTATCTCTTTCCTCGTGGGATTGATACACATTAATCCTTAAACTACATTATTACTTGATATGTTTAATTGCATGATTAACCGACTTACTTCACGGTAAGTTTTCGGTCGTCAAATTTTTGGCGTTGTTGTAGCATAAAGAAAAATTTTATTTTAGGATAAGAGTATTTGAATTGCTTGGAATCTAGGTTTTGACACTGTTGTTTTCTTGTTTTTCTTTCATGTTTTCCTTGGTTATTTCTTTTGTTGCACTTGTCTTGTTGACTGTATTTTTTTGCAAGCACTGAAAAATTAAAGAGTAGAAAAAATTATAAAGCCAAAAAGCTAAAAAAAGACTTTATTTCTCTTTCATTTTACATGTGTTTTTTTTGCTTTGCATGTGTGTATGTTAGTTGAAACGTGTGGGTCATCGTGATTTTCTACTTGTATGGAGTTTGTTAAGTGTCATAGGACCATGTTATCCTTGTCTATGTGTATACATAGGGGAGTCGAGTCTGATTTTGCCCCTATCAACCTTGAGATTGGCCTCACTTTCAGACACTTTAGAAGAGCACACCCTTAGGTATATGCTTTTCATTGATGATGTCTTTCTTGTGGATAAAACTAAAGCAAGATTTAAAAAAAAAAAAACTTGAATTGAAGAGATTTACTTTGGATTCTAAAGACCCTCATGAGTAGATCTAAAGCTGAATACATTGATTTTAATTTTAGTAATACTAGCCCTAGTGGCAGAGTTTTAACTATGGGTGATAAAATCATTTTAGATACTTGGGGTTTTTTTTGTTCGAAGTGATAGTGTTATAGATGAGGATTTTATTAATAGAATTCAAGTTGGTTGGTTGAAGTGGAAGAATTCATCAGTCCTATTGTGTGATAGAAAAGTACCACCTAGACTTAACGGAAAATTTTATAAGTTGGTGGTGAGACATGCAATGCTCTATGTCGCTAAATGTTGGCCTTTAAAAGAGAAGCATAAAACTAAGTTAAGTGTTGCCGAGATGAGAATGATTAGGTGGATGAGTGGTTTTACACTTAGAGACAATATGCAAAATGAATATATCCAAGATAGGGTTGGAGTAGTTCCACTGACAGACAAAATTAGAAAGAGTCGTCTTAGTTGTTTAAACGTCGACCTTTTGATGATCTGGTTAGGAGAGTAAATGTTTTAGATTCAACTTATGTTAACAAATGTAGTGGTTGTAGTGGTAGAACTAAAAAGAATTGGGCATATTGTATACAAAGTGATCTAAATTTATCAGAATTAAATGAAAATATGACACTTAATAGGACATAATGAAGAAAAAGATTTCATGTAACCAACCCCACTTATTGGGATAAAATAGTTGTTGTTGTTGTTGTCATTTGATTTTTTTCACAATAGTAAATATCTCAAAACCTCCTCGCTATTAAAGACATTGACAAGTGGTTCAATCAACATCATCTTGTTGATAATAATAATAATGTCGCTAAGAAATTAGCGGCGGTAGAACAACAAATTATCGTCTTAGAGTTGTACGTAAGTTCAACACACACACATATGAAATAGAAAAAAACGGTGATGACTCTATAAGTTTTTACGTGGAAAACCCGTAAGGGAAAAACCATGGGGCCTGACCCAGTTACGAAAATTCACTATTGATTGATGATAACAGATGCTCCTTGTCCCACAGACGGGAAAATATTACTAGTTTTCCAATTAACAACATCGCAAGGTACAACGCCAACTAACGGCGTCCGCTTGGTAGTGATCGATGATGATAGGTGGAGGTTGACGACAGTCGGCGGTGGTCAACGACGGTCGGCGGTGATCGATGACGGTTGGCGGTGATCGACGATGGTTGGCGGTGGTCGTCTGAGGTCGTCGGTGGTCCTCTGAGGTCGCTGGTGATCGACGACGGACTGCGGTGGTCGTCTGAGGTCGGTGGTGGTCAGCAGCTTCTCCTCAAGACCTCAGACTCTTTCTAGAATTCCTTCCCCTCATGAGTGAGATGTGGCTCTATTTATAGTGTTCTGGGTGCAATTAATGCAGGAATATGAATCATTTTGATCGGACGGTCCGGAGAGCTTCCCTCGATTATACAACGTTTAATGGACATTTGAGCGCCTTAATGATGTCAGAATTGAGTGATATTGGGCTTGTTGGATTCGTCTTGTCGAGCCGCTCGATTCGAGTATAAACTTGTCAGTTTCGACATCTGTTTAACCTTCTAAATGTGTCAAAAAATCTACTAAGGGTGGTTTAATGACTTGATCTGCGCTGATTTGACTCAGACTGGAGTAGTTTTCATATTATTGCTATTTTTCATATCATTAGGTCTCTCATTAAACATGTTAAGTTTGCTGAAATCGAAGCTCTGGATAACTTTTAATCAAGATTTAAATGTTTCTTGTTTAAAATATCATTTCGAGATTCATGTCATGCCTCGAGATTCGTGTTGGATGATGAAAATTTGTTGGTGGTGTATCAGTTAGAATGATTATATTGCTTATTATTACAATTCAAAGAGTAGATGACATTGCTTGAGCTCCATTATTTTTTTGCTAAATGCTTGTTGTGCTAGCTATCAATGAACTACCTAATCATGATAATTAATGAATGCATTGGTCATTGCATTTATTTGAGGATAAAAAATTGCTTGCTCTATCATTTATTATATACACTATAGTGATGAATTTTTTGTCATAAGAAAATATATACATGGCAAGCCACTCTCCACATTAGTCCAAATTGTAGACATTGCTCATTTGCACTCACATCAATCATCACCATGCTTGCCACAATGACACTATCAAATATATCACTAATGACAACAATGATCATATTGCTAGCTTTGCTTTATGAATGTATATCCTTGTTATAAAATTAATTGTCAAGCATGCCATTCATAGTAGTCTATTTAAAAATCAAACAACACTCACTCCACTCCCATGGATTATTATAGTTGTTATAATAATAATGTTATTGCTACTATTAGTTATGATGGCAATGATAATCTTCAAATGTTCATAGTAATTTAATAAATATTAATGTTTTTAATAGCTCAAAAATACTATAAAATTTAAAATATATCAATTTTAAGTTATTATTTAAATGCATAAAATTTTATTCATATCAGCAAACATTGAAATTAAGTTAATCGATAAAATGAGCCTAAAATAGCCCCCAAAAGATATTAGCTTCGTTAACAATAATTATATAATGAATAGTCAATATATTATTCAAAATTTTCATATCATATCATTAATATCATAATTTTAACCTTGCAAAGTGAAAATTTTTTTTTCTTGCATATATAAAATTAGATATGTAAATGAAGGCATAGATGATAGATACTTAAATACATAATAAATAAGCATACATGTACATGTTCCAATAAAAATGTTAAAAAGGCCAGCAAACACTTTGTTTGTTGCGCCCCCATTTTATCCTGCACCCTACTCGTGCAATACGCTCACAACGTCACCCGTGACCAGCTAATTAAAAAAGCAGAAAAAAAATTTAGGCTAAAATTTCAATTTTTTAATTTAATTAAAAAAATTAATAACTAATAATTTTTTTCTAGTTACGTATACTATAAATAATATATTAAAATTTATATTGCATTTTTTAAATTAAATATAAGACCTAAATTAAATTTTAATTAGGATATTAAACTATTTTATTGAACATCATTTAATTTTTTTTTCAGATCCATAGCGTTGAATGCATTGAAGTTCACTCAAATGTGGACATATAAATATCTTGTGCCCTCCTAACCTTGCCTCTCAGTCGGTCGAAGAGCTCTTCCGCTCAGTAACATTTTCCAG